TCATGACGATGCTGATGATGATGACGATGATGGTGATGACGATGATGATGATGATGATGATGATGATGATGATGATGATGATGATGATGATGATGTGAGGAGGGAGGAGGGGGAGGAGAAGAGGAGAAAGAGGAGAGGAACGCAGGGCGCTCTCTCTTCAAAACGAGGACGCGACACCACATAATGGTTGGGAACAAAATAACACCGTAGGAAAAGATCACGAGGGGAGCCCACGGACTCCCTCTCTCTGCCGCCGCATCTTTCGAGCTGGATCGAGCTGCGCGGGCCCCCGAGGCCCGAGGTGGTGCGAGCACGCCCGACTGGAAACAACAACAAGAACGACGCCAATGTCTTGGGCATTCTCTCCTCCAGGAGCCGCGGCTCCCGCGAGCCGTCGACCGCGACGGCGCCGTGCCGCAGCTCGCCGGGGAACACCATCCAGCGGTTGCGCCTGGGGGCGACCGTGTAGCCGGCGAGCGGCATGGAGGGTGTGGACTCGCCCTCGCGGCCGGCCACCTCAGGGCGACGAGGGCTGTGCACAGCCGCTGCCCCAGGGCCACCCCGGGCCCAGGAGGGGTTGTTTACCCGGACACGCTCGCGTCATGAAAGAATCGCGGCGGGAAGTTCGTGGCCGGTTTCGGCATCCAGGGGCCCTCGTCGAGCACGGTCCTGAAGCCAGGCGACTGGCAGACCCGTGGCTGCTAAAACGGAGCTCCAGGAAACTTCTTTTTCCAGGAAGCAGCACGTTTACGATTTAGCGCGCCGAGTTTGATTCCGGGGAATCGTGTTTTCCTTCTGGGAAGACCGTTTCAACAGCCACGGGCTTGCCAGCCCTCGCCCTCCCAAGGGCCCGTTTCAGACGGGCCCCGGGGAATGGTTTGGGACTTCTGGGGACCCCGTATTTAGACGAGCGCGTTCCACTACTTACAAAGTGACTACTCGCAAATGGCCTGGATCCGCCGGGGGGGAGATACGAGAACTGACGTCGGATCAGACATCTGTTTTTCGGGCGTTTGCGAGTAGTGGAACGCGCTCAGTGAGTGCGAAAGTAAGAACACCGCATGTCTGGCTGTGCCTCCCTTGCCACGCCAGGAGGGCGTATGCACTGGTCGTGGGCCCAGCATGGGCCTGGCAAGGGACAGCAGAGCCGTGCAGCCCTCGCCGCCCTGCACCTGCTCGAGCACCACGGTGGGCCCCCCCACGTCCCCGAGATAGAGCACGGAGGAGTAGGCCGGGCGCAGGAAGTCCGTGCTCCGCTCCACCTCGCCGTGCGTCCTGCCCCACACGGACAGCGCCGTGTCGTAGTGGAAGTGGGCGCCCATGCGGGCCGCGTGGTTGCGGCACCACCACTCGATGCCGGCGAAGTCGCGCTCCTCGTGGCCGAGGAGGCGCAGCAGCGCGCGCCCTGCCACCTCCGGGGCAGTCCGTGGCTCAGCCGCGCGGTCGAGCCAGAAGGTGCACAGCTGCCTCTCGGGTCGGGCGAAAGGGGGGGATAGCAAAGGGGGGGTTTGAGAATCAGCTCACGTAGCTGATTTTCCCGGCGCCTCCTGGCGCCGGATGGAGCTATGTATCGAGGAATGGGCCCCTCGGTGAGGCCGAAACCAGCTGCATGCACCAAATTTCGTAACCCCCCCCTTTCCCAATCCCCCTCTTTCGCCCGACCCGAGCCTCGGGCTCTTCACCCGCCAGACGCAGAGGTCGTCCACGCTGCTGCAGACGATAGAAGAAGAAAAACGGCACAGACATGAATGGCCGGGGAGCTCCGCGCGGACCCCTCGCGTCGGCGCTGACACCCCCGGGAGCCAATCCGAGGAACCCGCGCGGAGCTCCAACAGTGATGCCTCTGCCGCCTTTTGCTCTTCGAGACAAGCTGCAGCAGCTCCGGAGTGAGCACGTCCTCCCACACGGCCACGCCGAGCTCTCGCCCACTGCCCTCTGCCAGCACCGGGGGCGGCATGGGCACCGACGGCCTGCACCGCCCGGCGCCCAGGCCGCGCCGCTCGCCGTCCTCCTCCGCGCGCGAGCAGCAGGGAGAAATGGTGGTAAGCTGCTTGGCTCGCCTTCCGAGAAGGCATCCCCCCAGACGAAAAGCTTCCCGAGACGCCGCGGCAGGCTTGCAGGAGACCTTCCATCCCGCCGTCGCCGCCGCTCTCTCCCTCCTCGTCCTCCTCCTCTCCTCCTGCCAGCCTGCTCCCCCCGTCGTTGTCGCTGCCGGCATCGGTGCGCGTGCTGGGACGCCGCCACCCCCCGTCCCCCACGGGGCGGTCGCCCTGGGTGGCGCTGATCAGACCAGGTTTCGACCGTGACAGACAGATCCTCTCTCCCTCCTCGTCCGTCTCCTCTCCTCCTGCCAGCCTGCCCCCCCCGTCGCTGTCGCTACCGGCATCCGTGTGCCCCTCGTTGATTTCGGGCCCTGTTTCCTCCTCGTGGAGGAGGAGGAGGAGGAGGAGGAGGAGGAGGAAGAGGAGGAGGAGGAGGGGGAGGAGGAGGAAGAGGAGGAGGAGGAGGAGGAGGGGGAGGAGGGGAGGTGGAGGGGGATGCGTGCTGGGACGCCGCCACCCCCCGCCCCCCACGGGGCGGTCGCCCCGGGTGGGGTCGATTAAGCCAGGCTCCGGCTGTGACAGACAGACCACGACGGGCAGAGGCGAAGGGGCCCAGGGGCACACTAATAGGTACACACACACAGCGAATCCCAGGATGCCCCCATATGTTTCCAGATGTTCTGGGTTCTTGCCTTCCCCCCCCCCCACTTCCCACAGGTTCCCATATTTTCGGGGGGATCGACGACGAATTGTGTCTGTGCTCCTCTTGCCTCCTGAATGGGGCACGCATGACCTCACGGAAGGAAGCGAGAGGTGGAGAGGGGTAAGCAGCGAAGAGCTGCCTGTGGCGGCGGCACCCGTGGGGGACAAAGTGACTCGAGGCTGCCCTGTTCCCCTCCGCGCTCCTCGCGCTGGGCGGCCGCGAGCGCTGCCGCGGCCTCGCCCCAGGCGCTCCTGCCGCTCAGCGCGCAGCGCAGGTTGCGGGCGAGCAGCGCCGCGTCCGCCGCCGCCTGCACGCCGGCGGGGCCGCCGGGGTCGCGCGCCTGGACCTCGGAGAAGAGGTCGAAGGCGGCCTCGAAGTCGCCGGCGCGGTACGCGCACTCGGACAGGAACAGCCACGCGTCCACGCGGCCGCGGTCCAGCGCCAGCGCGCGGCGCATGCACGGGCCCACGCGCGCGTGCTCGTGCGCGACGTCGTGCACGAAGCCCCGCAGGAACCACGCGTGGGCCGAGGCGGGGCACGCCGCCAGCGCGCGCTCGCACGCGGCGGCGGCCCCCTCCAGCTCGCCCCGGGCCACCAGCGCGGGCACGGCCGCCAGCTCTGCGGCCCCGGCCTCCTCCGACGACGGCCCGGCCGCGCCCTCGGCGCCGCCTGCCTGCGCCCCCTCGCCGCGCTCCTCCGCCGGCTGCCCGGCCGCGCCCTCGGAGCCGCTACCCTCGGCTCTGGGCGGGGGGGGATGCGCGCCAGGGCAGCGGCGCCGCTTGGCGGCCGGCTGCGCCATGGGCCCGGGGAGGGGCTGCGGAGGGGCGGCGGGCGTCGAGGGAGGGAGGGGCGAGGGGCGAGGAGAGAGGGACAAGGAAGGAGCAACACGGGGGCGGAGGAGGAGGGAGGATGAGGAAGCTGGACGAGGAGGAGGGAGGAGGAGGAAGAGGACCACTGTACAAGCCCACGACGCGTCAACGATACTGCAGTAAGCCCTCCCTCAAAATTCCCTCTTCATGGGTCCCGACAACAAGTATGTTCGTTCTTGGAACTGCCCCATTGGAAGGCAACCCTGCGAGACTCTCCGATCCTGCCAGAACACCGTAGGACTTCAACGGCACAAAAAAATGACTTCTGCGACCTGATAACTAGTTCGTGAGTTCGTGCCAAAAGACCAGTCTTGGGACGTCAACATCACGAATACGTGTAACTGTTCCGTCCTGACAATTCCAATTCGCGTCATAGCACAAACCCTGGGACTTCAACCCTACTGATCTTTGAAACAGCTGCAAGATGTTCAAACAAATACGCGCGTCGCTAATGCGAGAGCCAAATTATGAGAAAGAACACCCCTCCATCCGTGAAACTCTTGCATGGCGTGGCGCTGAGACGAGAGCCACATCTGGAAAACTATCCCCCTCCATCCTTGAAGCTGCTGCAAACTTGTCAAGCGAATGGGCGCGGCGCTATGGCGAGAACCACATGTGAAAAACAGCCCGCCCTTAATTCTCGAAGCTGTTGCAATGTGTGGACGCTGAAGCGAGAGACGCCTTTTGAAAACGACCCTCACTCAATCCTTGAAATTGCTGCGAACTGCTAAGCTCAATGCGCGCGGCGCAGAGGCGAGAGCCACATGTTGAAAACAACCCGCCCTCCACCCCTGAAACTATTGCACATTTCAAGCTTCAGGATCAGAAATGGGGAGGACGTCTCAGTCGGATGGCCCGGCAAGCCCTACTGACACGTCTGGGGGGGGCGACAGGGAGGAAGCATGTGTAAAGACGAGGGATGGAGGAGGAGGAGGAGGAGGAGGAGGAGGAGGAGGAGAAGGAGGGGGAGGAGGAGGAGGAGGAGGAGGAGGAGGAGGGGTGAGGTGGAGGAGGAGGAGGAGGAGGAGGAGGAGGAGGCGGAGGAGCGAGAGGGGCGGAGGCTGATTGGGGGGGAGGACGAGGAGAACTCCGGCGCCAGCTGTGTGCAGTACGCGGGTGGACGAGAGGGGGGCGGAGAAGGGAGAGGAGGGAGAGGAGGGGCCAAGGGCGGAGGGGAGCAGAGGGGCCAAGGAGAGGAGGGAGGAGGGAGCAGAGGGAGGAGGAGAGGGGGCGGAGGAGGTAGGAGAGGAGGGAGGGCAAAAAGCGGCAACGGCGCTTCGGGGCCACCGTTCACAGCGGCGGCCGCGAGGGCCTAAGCCGTGCAAAATACCCGCGCGGTTTTCTGAATGCAGCGCTTTTGGCTCGGCGGACGGCACACTCCCTTTTATCGGAGGGAGCGCGTTTCACGGGCGCTCGCCTTGGAAACATTCGGCGGCGCGTTTGAAGCGGGGGGGGCCTCCCCCCCAACATTCGGCGCCGTCGAACAGAACCAAGGGAACTCCCCTCTCCCCTCCCCCCCCCTCCCCGACACCCCCGGGGGCCTGCGCAGGCGTGGGCGTGGGCGTGGGCCTGGGCCTTGATGAGGGAGGGAAGAGGAGGGAGGAAGGAGGAGGAGGAGGAAGAGGAGGACCAGCGTTAACCCAGGATGTCGCTAAGACGCTGCACTACACCCTCCCGTCCCGAGCTCCTTCATCAGCCCCTACGAGCAGCGCCGCCCTTCGAAGACAACAAGCACCTCATTGGCCCGCAATTCAGGCGAGAGCTGCGTTTCGAAAGAAACTGTCCTCCATCTTTCAAGCTACAAGGAACGCGACAATATGGGACAGAAAGACTTAGGAAATGCAAGACGGCAGCCCCGATTTAAAAAAGAGCTGCCCTCCACCCCTGCTACAGCTGCACAACCACACACCTTGCCCTGAAATATACAAAGTCTCAAACGACACCTCCTTTTAAACAAGAACCGCCCTCCATCCGTGTAATTGTTCCACATTTTGATCCGCCACCGTGCCTCTCGGCATGGAGTGGGCGTGTCCGCAGCCAGCTGCCCAATACCATGAGCCTCAGCCTTCAGTCCTTGGGGCTTCATCAGGGGCCCGAATCCCAAACCCCACCAGCCCTCTGGGCGTAGGTGGTCTAGACAGGTTCCTCTTCCAACCCCCTTCATCCTCTTCGGGGAGGGGTTAATCACTGATCCCTATCAGTACACCCCATCCCCAAGCGACCAGCAGCCAACCAGGAACAATGAGGACCACCACCCCCCACCATCCCTGTCAAAAGCAAAACATAACGCACTCTGCCTCCACATTTGGAGCATGCGCGGCCAACCCGATGCGGCCGCCCCACCACCATCCCTGACACAAAAAAACAATATCAAGTATACGTTGGGGCAAAGTCTGGAGTCATGTTTGTGAGGCCCGCGAGCACTTTGAATTGTTTGTTGACAGGGAAGACAAGGGTGTCAGCAGATTGTCTGCTGCGCGCAGGGCTACCATCCCTGCCCAAAAAAATGCACCTCGCGGCTAAATCTGGATCACGCGCGGCCGCCCCACGAACACTGTCAAGTGGTGGGTATGGCCTGCTGCGCGCAGGCCCACCAGACACACTGGTGGGCATTGGCTTTCGACGTGGATGGTGGGCCGACGTGTTTCCCGATGTGAGCTGTCGCGTGGCCAGGCGCACCTGACACGCTCTGCACGTGCCCCGAACGTGGCGCACCTGGCGCGGCTGGAGTGTGCGGCGCACCTCGCGCACGCGAAGGCACGTGGCGCATCTGGCGCCCCAGGCGTGCCTGGCACGCCCGGGCCCCAGGTGTGCCTGCCCCGCGTGACCTGCCTGGCACGCGTGGCGCACCTCGCCCCAGCGTCGCGCACAGGGGCTCGGTTTTGGTCCCCACTAGCTGCCCATCCAAAGACGACCGCTGAAAATGCTGAGGCTAAGGTGTCACTTATGTGTTGGGAGGGCGGGCGGGAGTGAGCAAGGCGGCTTGCGGGCGGGTGGGTAGCTTGACCCCTCCTCCTACCCCCTTCCCTGGACCTGGACGGGGCCGGTCGCGAGGCGTCAGAGGGTACTTTTTCCGTCCAAGACGGCTCCAAGAGGGCCTCAGAGAGCCCAAGGTGACCTCCACGATAGCTCCAAATAGCCTAAGATGCCCCAAGATGGCTCCCAAGATGGTCCAAAAGGCCCCAAGAACGCTCCAAGACGGTTCCAAGAGGCATCCGAAACCTCCAGGGACGCCCCCAACAGGCAAACATCCTTGAGAAACCTACGGAAGATCACTTATTGTTACGTCGTCGCCCGTTCGCTTTCGATAGCCTTCCGAGGCCTCAAGATGGCTCCAAGATGGCCCAAGAGGGCCCCAAGAAAGGCCCAAGAGAGCCCCAAGACGGCCCCAAGAGCGCCCAAGAGCGGTCCAAGAGGGGTTCGAGAGGTTCAAGAGGCGATTTTAGGAACTCCCGACGGGGGAAGCTAATTGCGACCATCCCCTTCTTTGATCGATGTCCTGCAAGATGGCCCCAAGAGCGCCTCGAAAGGTCCCCAACAGCGCCCCAAGAGGCGCCCAACAGGCCTCCAAGAGGCTCCCAAGAGACCCCCTCTGGAGGCTCCCCGAAGTACGCAAGAGGCCCCCTGAACCGCCAAGAAGCCCCCAAGACGCCCCAAGAAACCCGGAAACTCGCCATTGTCATCCACCTCCTCCTCCTCCTCCTTCTCCTCTTCCTCCTCCACCCTATACCCTACTCTCTCCTTCCCCTCCTCCCCCTCACCCTCCTCCTCTTTGAACGATGGGGGGAGGTGGATTGGGCCGGGGGGGGCAGGCGAGAAGGAACTGGAAGGGGGAACGTGGAAACGGGAGGGTGGGGATCATTGGACGAGTGGGACGATGAGCAATAGAGGGAGGAGAATGAGCAAGGCGATTCGAAAGCTTCTTGCCAACTCATCAGGAAGAAGGTCGCGAAGTCAGCGCGACATGTTTCTGCGATGATGCCAGCGACTCTTCCCTTCAAGAATGCGCGACGACCCGCCGCTGGCCATGCCAGAAATTCGCCAGGCCTCTCCGAGAAGCGCACAAAGGGCGTGACGTGCTTCTCGTCGCAAAGACAAGGGAAAGACTCGGGCAGGCGAAACTCGGACAGGCTGAACTCGGCCAGCTGAACTCGGCAAGGCTGAATTCGGCCCGGGCGGAATTCAGCCTGGCCGAGCTCGGACTCGCCATCTTTCGCCCGGCCGAGCTCACCCTGGCCGACTTTTCAGGTGGCCGAGCTCAGCTTGGCCGAATTGCCCCTGGCCGACTTTAGTTGCTGCCCCCCCCCCCCCCAACAGCTCGCAGCCAAGTGAAAATGCAGGCGGAGCGCCGCAAGGCCAGCTATAGCAGAGCGTGGAACGATGCGGATCAACCAAAAGGTTTCGTACAAAGCTCCTGTCTTGACAGGGTGTGCGACTTGATTCAAACTTCCCGAGCTCGGCCTCGTCCCATAGCGTCGCCCACATGGGTGCTCTGGGACGCAGTCACGAACGCAAGTGAAGGGCGGCCCGCGGGAGGGCGACATTGCCGCGGGCCACGCACGCATGTGACGAGCGCCTCTGGGACGCGCTGGCCGAAGCGACTCATGCGGGAGATCTTCTGGCGGTCGAGCTCCGATTACATATTGAGAAGCTTGGCGCGGCGCTCACAACGAGTCGCGCTCTTCTTCGCGGCCCAGCGGCTGGGCCTCCGCGCCTGCCCCAGAGTTCGATGCTCGCGGTAGATGTCACGAGACAGGGCAGCGCGGCGCACGGCGCGAGGCGCCCGGTTTAGCTACGCGCAGCCGAAGGCCTCGGCAGCAACTTTAGGGCGCCCGCCACACCGGGACAGCCTGGGCCCCTGGAAAGCCGAGCCTCGGGGGCAACGTCGCCCGAGCGGCGAGCGCCGTCACCCTGGGCGCCCGCGGCCGCGAAGGGCTGCCGAGCACCGCCGAGTCGTCCACCCAGCCAGCTTCCGCGACGAACCCCAGCTCCGCGGGGGCGAAGACGACGCCCCAGCCCGCGAGGCCGATCCGCGGACGGCCGCCGCT